ATAGGCGGCGGCGCGGGCGTTTCTCTCTCTTTCGTCGCTCGGCAGCCGCGCGGTGAAGATGGGTGAGCGCTCTGCCGTTTTGGGGCCGGGTGTGGGGCCGGGGATGGTTCTACGCGGTCCCCGGCGGTGCCCGAGGTGCTCCGGGCTGCTCTCCGCCCGTCCGCGGGCGGCTGGGGGCCGTGCGAGCAGCGCTGAGGGCGGGGAGGCCGCGGCCGCCATTACCCGCCGCATGGCCTCCTCAGGCCTCCTTTCCCCTCATAACTCTTTCTTCTCCTCACCGCCGCTCTGTTTCCTCCCGCAGGGAAGTGCCGAGGTCTCCGCACCGCTCGGAAGCTGCGCAGTCACCGCCGGGATCAGAAGTGGCACGATAAGCAGTATAAAAARGCGCATTTGGGCACGGCGCTGAAGGCCAACCCTTTCGGGGGCGCTTCCCACGCCAAAGGCATCGTTCTGGAGAAAGTGTGGGTGYTCCTTCAAACCCAACCCGGAGCCCCCGGGATGCGGTTCCYATGCAGGATGGGGAAAAACAGGGATTAGGATCGTTTTTTTTTCTTACCCCAAAAATTGCAGAATATAAGCAGGATTTTCTTACAAAAAAATAGGACTTGGGAAAAAATTGTAGAAAAAAAATTTTGGCATACACTGAGGCTTTATGAGAAACTTGCAGGATCTTTTAAAAATAAATGGGTTTTTTTTGTAAGAATAGGAGAAAACTAATTTCTGTGAAAATGAGGAAAAATAAGGAAGTTTGGGCAAAAGAAAGGAAAAGGCAAGATTTTCTTTTTGCCTGGCTTGGGGGAAATCAGGACTTGGGGCACAAAAACGGGGATTAGGATCTTTTTTTCCCCTCCCCCAAAAATTGCAGAATATAAGCAGGATTTTCTTACAAAAAAAATAGGATCTTGGGAAAAAATTTATGGAAAAAAAATTTTGGCACACACTGAGGCATTATGAGAAACTTGCAGGATTTTTCTAAAAAGAACTGATTTTTTTGTAAGAATAGGAGAAAACTAATCTCTGTGAAAATGAGGAAAAATAAGGAAGTTTGGGCAAAAGAAAGGAAAAGGCAAGATTTTGTTTTGGCCTGGCTTGGGGGAAATCAGGACTTGGGGCACAAAAATTGTGTTTGTGTGCCATGTGTCATAGATCCTATCTCCTGCGTTTTTCTTTCCCCCCTTTAATAATTTATAAATTTCATTGAGATGCTGCCAAGGCTCTGCTTTTTAAGCAGAGTGATTTGGGTTGTTCAGGGGTTTTTTATTTTGGGGGTTTTTTTTTGGATTTGAGTTAGTCGGGAGGTCACTTAATACTAGGTTTCTACCTGGTTTAGGAAGTGGTATTTTGTGTGTTTATATAAAAATCTACATTAATATATATTCTATAATATTGGTTGGGTATTCTGTTAATTCAGTACTTCTAAACAKACAGCTYATAGGTGTTGAAATACAGATATAATTTACACTGAAGACAAGTTAATTAACTAAACAGTTAACATTAAAACAGTTAATTTTGAGTTAATTGATGACCTTCCTGTGATATTTTTTTTTTTTTGTTTCCTTTGCAGTGGAGTAGAGGCCAAGCAGCCCAACTCTGCCATCAGGAAATGTGTCAGGGTCCAGCTCATTAAAAACGGCAAAAAAATCACAGCTTTCGTCCCCAATGATGGCTGCCTCAACTTCATCGAGGTAATTGTCAAAAATCACTAAAATGCTGTGAGGAAAAGGTGTGGGTGACAGATTTGCTCGTGGTGTTCTCACCGTGTCCCCTGTCCCGTTTGTGTCACAGGAGAATGACGAGGTGCTGGTGGCCGGGTTYGGGCGAAAGGGCCACGCCGTCGGGGACATCCCAGGTGTTCGTTTCAAGGTGGTCAAGGTGGCCAACGTGTCCCTGCTGGCCCTCTACAAGGGCAAGAAGGAGAGACCCAGGTCGTAAATAAACCCTCACCAATCTGACAGAAACACCAATAAAATGTTTTGAGTTAACAGAGTGATCTGTTTGTTGCTCATGGAGTGCTGGAGGAGGAGGATGGGGTGGTTAGCAACACCTTGCCGTAGAAAATGAAATTAAATTTCTTCTAGATCTGGCCATAGAAAAATCCCAAACCTTCGTGTTCCTCTGGGACTGCTGACCAGCAATCAGAATATCCCCTCAAGGGAGGAGAAACTGCAAGAATTTTAAACGCATAATTGTGAAAAAGAGCCTTCTTCACGTAAAAAATGGTCATTGGAAATGGTGTTTGTGGCAGCAGTTCTGGTCTCTCGTGTAAGCACAGGCACAGAACTCGAGTTTGGGCCCTGAAGGGTTTATTGAACCAATCTACCCAACCTCAGCCCAAAAAGATTCACCCAGTGTTCAGCACAAATTAACAAAGGTTATTTTGGGGTAAGTCTGCCCAATTTGAGGACATCTGCTTTAGTGCTCTCTTGTGCACTGACTTGGGTGTCTGAGTTTTTAACTTAGCTAGACTAAAAATGTGCAGGGGTTTTAATACTGTAACACCTCAAAATCTTTATTTGGCTGAACTCAGACTGTGAATTATCCCCTTGTTACAACTGCAAGGCTCTCGTTTCAAATCACTCATTTACTTAGACAGAAATTAATATCAAAGTTCAATTATTTATATGCAAATGGAGTAGGAATCTAAGAACGCGTTGAGAATCTCGAGGTTTCGAGAGGCAGAAGGGAAGGGGAACTGAATCTCCAGATTCCGAGGGAGGAAGATCCCGCGGGCGCTGTGGTGAGGCCGTGTCGCCAGCAGATGTCGCGACAGGAGCGGGGAGGGGACAGCCGAAACKGAAACGTTCCAGCCAAAAACTTGAGTGGGTTTTTTGACAAAAGAAACGGGGAAATTCGGCCAAAGGGAGGCTCCAGAGAGGCACGAGAGCAGCCCAGGGCTGGGTCCAGGTGGGGATGAGCAGAAAAGGCCCTGGGGGTGTTTGGGGTGAGAGCTGGGACCCCAAAACCCTCCATGCTGGAACCCCAAACCCTCCATGCTGGGACCCCAAACCCCCCTGCTGGGACCCCAAATCCCCTGAGCTGGGACCCCAAACCCCCTGAGCTGGGCTGAGCCCCCCATGGGCAGCAGGATCCCAGCACAGGAGGGACCTGGAGCTGCTGGAGGAGCCCAGAGGAGGCTCCAGGATGGGCAGAGGATGGAGCAGCTCTGCTGGGAGGGAAGGCTGGCACAGCTGCGATTGTTCCAAAGCACAGGAGCAGCTTTGGGGTGAGCTCAGAGTGGCCTGAAGGGACCAAAGGAAAGATGGAGAGAGAGACTGGGGACAGGGGATGGAGGGACAGGACACAGGGAATGAATGGGGTCACACTGCCAGAGGGCAGCGATGGATGGGATATTGGGCAGGAATTGTTCCCTGGGAGGGTGGGGAGGGGCTGGGATGGAATTCCATCCCTGGATCCCTTTGAGTGTCCAAGGCCAGGCTGGACACTGGGGCTGGGAGCAGCCTGGAACAGCGGGAGATGTCCCTGCCATGGATGGGGTGGACCTGGGTGGGATTTCAGTCCCTTCCCACTTCACCCATCCTGTGATTCTGTGATTGTGCCAAAGCCCAGGAACAGCTGGGGTCCCCTGGACACTGCAGAAAGAAATCAGGGAAAGATGAGCTGAGCCAAACGCCACCACATCACTTTAGAGGGGTTTTACACCTCACAAATACGTTATAATTATACACAGCCCAAATCCTCCAAAACAGAGGGGAATCCACGGCTGGCCATATTTCACCCCATCACCAAAAGTAATTAATATTTTCTCCCATTAAAGCAGTTGGCCAAGCACCTGATACCAGCAGTACCCAACTGAATAACAACGCTGCTGCAGGAGATGTTGTTTTATAACAACACTTGAGGAAGGTGTTAAGAGGGTGCTCTGTAAATCCACTCTCWGTTCAAACACAGCAGTGAAATCCTCTCTCGCCTTAAGGTGAATTTGTCTTCAGGAGGTGACAGCTACAACGAGCTCTCAAGTGGGGACTGAAAGCTTCCTCCTGGTGCGGGGTTTTTAAAGATTTTTAATGAAATCCAAAAGATAACAACRTGTGTGACACCTTCCTAATCCTGAGCGCTCCACACAGGCTTACTTCTGCAGCTCCGAGCCTCAGGTATATATATATTTTTTTTTATTCTAGGTGGTAAGAATTTCTCGCTAGAAAATGCACTTGAATTCAAATTCCTTGAAACACTTTTAAAAGCCTACATGTTACTAAAAATAGGTATAAATACCCATACACACGCTGTTCTCTAGAAGAGAGCATTTTTGAGGAAATAATTGTGACTTCACCATTCAGAGGGAAGAGCAATCGTCMTTCCTTTGTGCTGGAACTGAATTCATATGTGTGCAATATAAATACAGATGTCCAAACAGACTCATGAAACCATCACCATAGCAAATAGGGGTGGGGGGAAAAGTTATTAAGAAAGTTTTGCTGAAATTCATGGAGCTGCAGCAAGAATTGATACTGATTACTTCGCTGTGTTTAGCTGTAATTAAGTAGCTCAACATTTCCTGYGTGCGAAGGAATGTTCCTGTTAGAAACCAAAGCCAGGCAACCTCAAATCTCCTGGCAGGGGGTTAAATCCTTACCTGGTCATGCTGACACAAATGAGGGATTATGTGCATGGCTACCGACTGCTTTCTACACAAAACCACAATTTTTTTGGCTTAGGTGGACGCGTAAAATTAATTCTTTTTGATTATTCTGGCAGCCCAGGGCAGGTATGAGATTGTTCTCTTACAAGAAGTCCCCAGAAATAAGGAAACTCCCTTGCTCTGACTCCCCAGATTAGCAAAGATTAACAAATGAGCAAATTTACACATCTAAACTGGAAATTTTCTCCTTGGTAAGATGTGAAAATTCAGATAATGCATGTACAAACAACCCAAGCTCAGATCTAAGGATCTTCAATAGTTTCACTGATTAACAAACCACAACACAAAATGTAACCACAAAATATTGCCACAATTTATTTGATTAAAAAAAGAAAATATATATATTTATATGTCTTTTGCACATAGAAATTGTGTTAAGATATCCTAATTCATTACAGCATAAATGTAAAATGGGAAATTGGGTGCCTACCTCCCACCCCAGGTATTAAAAAGGAGATATCCAAACATATTTATTTATCTCCTTGATCCCAAATATGTATGTTATCCTGTATTTGTTCCTCTATCTAACCTCTGCGTATTTATATCTGACTGAATTTTGGTTTTCCAGGCAGATTTCAGGGAAATATTGATACGATGCTGTCTCTGTCAGAGCAAATCCTGGGGCAGTACCACGTGCAATGCCCTGTTCAAATAATCCTCTGCTTCGTTTACAAATGGKAAATTAAGGTAGAAAGTAATGGCTGTTGAGACTTTTTCCATGYAAAAYAAAAATATTTCCCTTTACATAYAAATGCCAYTTTTTGAAGGCTGAGTGCTTCTACTCCTCKGTTCCAGGGTACCACAAATGAAGATCACAGAGCAGGGGTGAACATTTAACAGCTCTTAAACCTGCTTTTTGTTCTCTTTCCCTCCTGTCTCCGTCTGAATTAAATTTGAAAATGGGCTGTGGATGCAATTAACAAGCATGTATTACCAAAAGTGTCCCCAAAATCAAGGTAGCTGCTGGCCATATTTTGCAAATCTGACACAGGTAAAAATGACTTTTCAGGTTGTTATGACCCAGAACAAARTTAATTATGTGCTTTCATGATTAATTCCAAATGGCTGGCAAACAAATGCTGCACCAGTGGAACTTTAAGGACTGTCCTCTGTATTTTATATCCACCAATGACATGTGATGGAAGTTAAAAACATCTGCAAAGCCAGAACCTGGATTCATTTCACACTCCCAGCTCTGATGTGGCACACACTGGACTTTGTGTGGAAAAGACAATTGCTAAATGTACAATGTAAAATCTGTGGCTCCATCTCACCTGCTCRGGCTCTTGTTTCATTCTGCAAATAAAATTCTTTTATTTATAGGGCTGGGTGACACGGGAGCTCCTCGTAATCTGGCTGTCCAAAAGCTCCCCAAAAACCCACAGCTGTCAGGGGAGGCTGCAGGAGGAGCGAGGCTGGGGAGCAAACCTGCCAACAACCAYGGGATATTTGGGATGAGGATGTTCTGTGTGTGCTGGGAGCTCTGGAGGAGAAGGTGGAGCAGCCTCAGCCCACACCCCGAGTGCCACAAGCTCACAGAGTTTTTTTCTGTATTTATGGTGTATTTTCTGTCCCACAGATGGTGCAGGTGAGTTCAGTGCAAACAGCCACTCAACTCAGACCTGTGCATGTGTGAGAGCAGTGACCTCAAGGGCAGTRTTTTATATCTGTGCTGGGGAGGTGCTCCCATAACTGCCCCGAGGTCTACCAGTGGTCAGAGGTCATCAGTGGCCAGAGAAAGAGCCAGGATCAATCATTTCCACACCAGCACGGCTGACCAGCCAGGAGGGATCCTTTTCCTTCATCCCCAGGGAAGTCTGCAGCAGCTTTATCACAGCCTGATCACCACACCACCAGTCCTTCAGGTCAGGGCTCTGCAGGGGTGACAGCAGACACAAAAAAAGGGATTAAATAAAAATCCTTGTGGTGGTTGTGCCAGACCACAACCCCGCCCTGTGCTGGGGGAACCAACAGAAAACATTTCCCCACACCTGAGAGACCCCAGAGCATCAGAGACCCTCTGGGTTTGTGAAAGCTGTGAGCAATGTGCTCTCTCTGCACAAATTTTCACTGCAAAGCAGGTGAGGCAGTGTCCTAGGTTAGCTGAGTATTGTATT